CCTTCCACTTTGATCTTCAATCCTTTGCTTCTCAGGAATTCGACCAACTTCTTGAATTCTTCTCTTGACGCGTATAGCTCCATGTCATCTACATGACTCAGCACGATTATTCCAAATCCTTCTTTGTCTGGTGTTCTTGAGAATAGTGCCGGGAGTCCACTATCACTTGTTAACCCGTACTCTTCCAGGTAACTTTTCAACTTTCCGAACCAAGCTGCACTCCCGATTCGTTGACCGGGCAACGTGAATCCTAGTTCATAGTATTCTCCATCGACTTCAACCACTGTTGGTTCTTCTTGCTCCACCATCAGGTAAGCATCTCCAACATCGATACTTCCAAGTGTATATCCTTCTGAAGACGCGAACAGGGCTGATAGTAGCTTCACTGTACTTGCTACACCGGTTGGCGAAAACAAACTTGCAATATCTGTATCACCTAACCACTTGAACTCTCTTGCTACCAGTCGTCCTCTTCTTCTCCACTCTTTGTCTCTGTGTCTCCAGTCATACACTATCTTTGTCGACAGAAACTTGTACTTTGAAATGTCTGTTCCTTCTGGCAACTTGTTCAGCACTTTCATCTTTTCCAGTCTTTCCAACTCGTGCTTCTTGGACACACCTTCAACTTTCTCCATTTCTTCATCAGCTAACTTTGGTGGTCTGCTTTCGAAATCATTCGACCATTTTGGCATATCTTCTGGTATCTCTTCTTCACCATCTGATTCTTGCCATTCTTCTTCCTCATCGAACTCAGCTTCCATTTCTTCAAATTCTTCCAACTCGACTTCTTCATCATCGTGATACTGCGGAAGTTCCTTTCTCAGGAATGGTTCTATCATCTTTACGCTTCTCATGTCGATCACTCGTCTCACTGAACTTGATGCATCTCCAACGGCAATAAACTTCTCTGGTCTCTCTTCAGCTTCCGTCGGTCCTTCATCCACTTTCTGTCTCACCGCTTCTGGCTGCTCGCCTTTTTCCAGGTTCCTCTTTGGCGATGCTGGCGGTGGATTCTCTCCTGTGATAAGTTCATCAGATTCATCACTTCTTTCACTTCTTCTTCTTGTGACTCCTTTTCCGCGGCTGCTTGAACTGCTGCTTGATGATCCAACATGTCCTTCACCTGGATCTTCGTCCATGTCTTGTTCAGTCTCGCTTGGCGGATCTGATGCCGCTTCTTGACTTGGGCTATAGTCTTTCAGCTCATCTTCTTGCTCTTGACTTCTTTCCTTTCTTGGAACAATCTCTGGCTTGTCGCCAATTGCCATCTCGATTCCACTGTGCGGTGGCAATCTCTTCGTTGCTTTCCTTCCTACCAACGTATCTTGTGTGTAGTTCCACGATGTTCCTGTTGCTTCTACTAGCACTTCAACATCATACAGTGGCGTACACTGTCTTATCGTTCTGCTCTTGATGATTCCTTATTGCCGAGGTGTGAAACAATCAAATCACCCGCAGAAACAAGTAAGAGTGTACGCGAAGGTGTGTAGTGACGACGGTACAAGGTTGGTCACAATGCCCAGCTTAAAAATCTTCGCATAACACGTAGCGGAACATATGGCAGCAGATATGTTCTAACATATCAAAAATTCCAATCAGGAATAAATATACATTCGAGGCACAATATGCATATCTCGAAAATCGGCTTCACAATGCGCTCACCTTCATTTTCATCCAATGGCGGTCACGGCGTCCTCGTCAAGAGTTGTACGATTGCGAGGATACAAACGCCAAGCATTTGCATCAGGGCACCCGGTGCCCGCTCAAGGGGATGTGTGCATCAAAGGGCCCCAGGCTCCTCAACACTTTATCTCCCCGGGTGGGTGGGTGGGTGACAAAATTTTCGCCCCACCTTTGCCAGCAGGGCACTTGAGCACAAAGCTGCCCGGTTTGCATTCATGATCAACACCACAAGTGATTGATGTCATGCAAAATAATGGCAAAAGCTTGAGGGCGAAAGGACAAACACATGTTTGTTTAAAACATCCAATTTGCACAAAACAAATTTTCCACCGGTTTGATTCGATTGACGGATGCACCCAGCGCATCCTTTTCACACAAGGCAATAAAGATTTATCGCTCCGCGATGTGTTTCTTGTCTTGTGCTTATCAGATTCAGGTTGTTCACCGAGTCCTTTCCAACGAAGATTCCTTTTCTCCATGCTTCACCCTTTTCCTTGACTTTTGGTACTGGCTTTGCCAATACTACGCTTCCCCATGGTGCTAATGTTCCTTTGTACTCTCCGTCGAATAGCACTTCAAAAGGCGTTGATCCTTTCTTCACAACAAACCTATTCAGCAGGAATGCTGCATGTCTTGCTGCCCATGGATACAGCGTACTTTCTGAAGTAATCTTCACTTTCGCTTGCGATTCAACTCCATACACCAGTGTCTTGGATAAGTTCCGAACTGTTTGAACCCATCTTTCAACTTGCAATCCTTGGTGTTCATCTGGTGCTACATCTTGTATCTCTGTATCAAGATTCTTCATCTTCCTTATTCCTTGCACTTTCTTCCTCAGCGAAATCATTGCTGGTTCTGTGTCAGTTCTCAGTATGACTTTAGAATTCAACAGCATAAGCACTCTGCAGACTTCTTCAACAATGTATGCTGTCACTTCTTTCGTCGCTACAGGAATGACATGTACGAACTTTGTTGCTTCATCAACCATCACCAGTCCGATTGTCAATGCATCCTTGTTGTCCTTTGTGTTCTCCTCGTCTCGAGTTCCAGTGAACTTGAAATCCATTGAAACTAGCGATGCTTCATTCTTCTTTTCAGACACATCGAAATTGTCTTCTCTTGATCTTGTTGCTTGACAACTTTCACACCAATCAGCTTTTGGTAGGTGCGTCAGTTCGTGCTTCTTTCTTTCTTCTTCACATCTCTGGTCTCTTTTCTCCTTTTGGTTCTCTTGTGAATTCTAGTTCCAGTCCTTTGGAGATTTCAACCAACTCCTTCATCTTGTTTGCTGATATGGCTTGCTTCAACCGTTGCCATATTTGAGCCTTACTTCCAGTCTTTCCTATCTTCAGGAATTCGCATGCCGTTCTCATTTCCTTGAGTGAACTCTCTGGATTGAGTTCGACTCCTGCCACAATCATCGCTTCTTCCATCTTCTCTCCTAAACTTGGCAGTTGCTCTTCGATTTTCTTCCACTCTTTCATATCTTCCTCTGCAGGCGGTTCACTCGGAAACAGGTTCTCCATAGCAGCTTCTGCTGCTTCCTTTTCGACTTGCTCTATATTCTTCTTGGTCTCACTTCCTTCTTTGTGAACCTTCATCTCCACGTCTGCTGCTTCCACTGATCTTTCTTGTTCCTTCTTTTTCTTCTTAGGGACTGTTCTTTCATACTCACCGTACTCTTCAAGTCCCAGAGACTTTCTCTCCAAGATCGTGATAATCACTGAGTTCTCTTCAACTGCATCTATCACAATCTCTTCTCGGTCTCCCCACTTTTCAGCGCACTCCACAAACTCCAGTTCGCTCCATACGATGTTGTCACCATCGTACCTCGATACCAAAGTAGTTCTGAATTTGAACGCTTTCACGTCGTCATTGGTGGGATCATATGTGGTGTACTTGTCATAATCGATCCTTGCTGGCTTCCCATCTGACATGAAAAACCATCCTTGATGATACTTCATTAGTTACTTCATCTTCTCGAAGTCATCTTCCATCTGCTTGATCAATGTGAGCTTTCTCACTTGTGGTTCATCACTTTCAACCTTCACTTGAGCTCTGTAAATCTTGAGGTCCGTCACTGTTGAGTTTCTTGCAAACCTCACTGGCACTCTTGCTGAACCTTTCTTCAGGTAAGCATTGAACTGGTCTAGAGGATCAAGTCCCCATCCGACTTTCCACAACTTGCCTACTGCAAATAGTGGTTGTGTTACATCTCCGAACACAGCTGAATCTCTCACCTTTATCACTCTTCCATCTGTTCTTTGGAATTCGAATGTGATGTTCGCTCTTGTCTCAGTGGTTCTTATCCTGTTGCCTTGGGCATCTTGAATAACCATTCTCAAAGCTGGGAACTCAACTGTTCCTAAGTCTTCGCTGTAGTAGCATAGCGGAAGTACATGACAATCCGCGCCACTATCTAGAACGACTTCAACGAGTCCTGAGTAGCTTGAGTTAACAGCTCTTACTCGATGCACTTCTGGCTCTTCATCTTGAACGCTTCCGAAAAGCCTTTCTCTTTCTTTTGCATGCTTGGCATTTTCCTTGTCTACATGCAGATCTTCATACCACTTGTGAAGTTCATCTTTCTCATAATCTTCTTCATCACTTTCATCAGCCATGCTTGACAGTAGCACAACTGTGTTGACCTTTACTGCTCTTGCAGCATAGTCCATCACCATCTCTTCGAACATTCCTACAAGATCGACGTAGTCATCATCGTCTTCGAACACTTCTTCAATCACTGGCATAGGTGTTGTCACCAACCTACGCACTTGCTCGTTTCCTTTGGCTCCTTGTGGTGGCCTGGCTTGTGCCTGTGTAGAAGAACTTGGTTGCTCTTCATACCATTCTTCCTCACCTGTCTCTTGGACATTCCGAACTTTTCCTTTTCCACCTTTTCCTTTTCCCTTTGGTGCCGACCAACACTCCGAAGAGTAATGTCCGGTCTTACCACAATTGAAACATACAGGTCCATTCTGTCCACCTTTGCCTTTTCCTTTGTCACTTTCGTAGCCTTTTCCTTCGGCCTGCCTTATGCTCTTTCCACCTTTCTTTCCGAATCCTTTTCCTTTTCCAAAACCTCTTCCTTTTCCTTTTCTTCTAGAGGCGGCGAGGAGTCCGCGGCCCGTAGGCCCTCGACGTGCACTTAATTACCATGGGTTTTCCATGGTCTTCCGCCCCGGTAGGAGCGGGCATCGCCCGCAGGCGGAAAAAGGAAGCTAAGTCCTACGGGAGAGTAACCTCGTCCCAGATGTGCTAAGGAGTGCGAACAGTCCTAAGGGAGCGTAACGCGTCCCTGCTCTGCACTACGGAGCCTACGGGAGGGAGCGTCCCGTCCCGCAGAGCTGCACATCAGAGGAGTGAGACACGTCCTCACCGGGAGTGCTACACGTCCCAAGGAGAGAGGCCGTCCCCTGCAGAGCAGAACAGGAGGCTCCCGTGTTCTCGCTCTTACGGAGCAGGGAAAAGTACCTGAGCCGAAACTCGTGCTGAGCTGAGAAGAACCGGGTGAAAGACAACCAACCAGAAGCTCTCCGAGCAAAGCTGGAGGATGAAGTGGTCGAGACCCGCCGGAGCGAATCTCTTAACCACCGCTAGGCACCGGTGTCCCCACGCCGCAGTTGAGAGCCCCAGGCCCGTTAGTTAAAACACGCAACTCTCTACGGCCACAAAGTGTGGCACTAGAGCTAGCTTGAGCCGAGACTTGAGCCATTCCTTTTCCTTTTGATCTTCCTCTACCACCTTTTCCTCTTCCGTATCCATATCCTTTTCCTTTTCCCTTGTCTTTTCCTTTTCATAAGGGATTCCTTTTCCTCCTTTGTCACCTTTTCCTTTTCCATCTCCTTTGCCTTTCCTCATGTGCAATCTATCGAGTTCCATTGGAATTGGTCCTTGGTAAGCCTTGTTGCTTGAATGTGACGTTGGATCTGGAACACTTAATGATCCTAAGATGTTCTCAGCTGACCATGTCTGATTGCTTCTTTCATATTGTAGCAGCTTTGCTCTTAACTCTTCATACGTGGTCTTATCAGTGATATCGACCATCACATGCTGCTTGAGGTGCTGTGGTATTCCTTTCAGCAGTGTACCGATCTTCAAGTTGTCATCATACTTCTGCCCTGAGAGTTTTTCGTACTCTGCTGTGAGCTTCTCGTGTGTCAGGACGTAGTCCATCAGCGATGCTCCTTTGCTCATGGCCGGGAATCCAACCAATGCTTGTGCCATTGCTAGACTCCTTGAACGAGATGTCGGCTCTAGTTCAGCCGTCAACTTTCTCCACACTTCAAATCCATTCATCCCGCTCACACTTCTCAGCACTTTCAGAGGTCTGTTCTTCAAGTAACTGCTTAACACTGAGTAAAGCTTCGTTCCTCTGTTCACTCTCGCTTGATCACTGTCAAAGAATGAACTTGTCACTGCCGATGTTATCGGGGTCTTTTCCTCTTCTGCTGTCTTCAGGTCCTTCAGGAATTCTTGGTCCATGAACGCTAAGAAGTTCTTGAACGTAAATGACCAGTCACTCCATTGTGACACTTCTTCTTCAATCGTCGCAGGATTGAACGCTTCCGGTGGCTTGAGGATCTTGCCTCCAGTATCAAAACTTACTGAGGCTGGTTGGCCACCTGAAGGGGCTGCCTTCGGTGATGCTTGGGCTTTCGCCAGTGCATCCATTGCTGTTGCCAATTGCGCTTGTTGCATTGCTGTTCCTTGCGCAACTCTTGCCATAGCTTCTGTAGCTTGACCTAACGTAGTCATCAGCTGTTCCAACCTTACCTGTTGAGGGTTCGGTGGCTGCTGTGCTTGTGGAGCTTGCTGTTGCTCCTGCATCTTTCCAACACTTTGGCAGGTCCTTGTGTATCTGGCTCAAGGTCTTCACTTCCACGCTTTTCTCCGACTTTGCAAGGTGCTCTTGGCTTAGCCGTAACTCCTCACTGTTCTCCGGCAGGATGCTCTTGGTAAACCGTAACTTCCTGCTTCACACTTTTCACTCCTTTTCCAGCTCGTAGCTGGCTTCCCTGGATCTTTGCTTGATCAGCTGCTGGCCTTTGCCAACAGCTCAGCTACCATGAAAGTTTAAACCCTTATACCAGTATACTTCTTATAACAACGGCGCGAGCTTGGATTCTTTTCTCACTCCGTGCTCCGCTGTCGGGCTGTCTTGAGCCTACGTTTGACCTGCGGTGAAACACTGGATTCCTGTATGTAAATGCGCATGAGGGAAAATTGAACTATCTGTTACAATTCCAAGCTTCCCCGGCTTTGGCTCTCAACTTGGGGGATTTGATCTTGCCTCGATCCTCTTCACGAAGCATGGTGGGAACGAGCTTCGGCAATCGATCTGTGACCCCAGTTCTGTCGTAATATGCCTTGATGTCTTGGTACAGCTTGGCACATCGGATGAGTTTGCTATGGCCTCTGATCTTCTCACTCTGTAAGTAAAACAGCAAAGACCCAAGCCAGTCGGATGTTACGCCGAGGTCGCAAGCGTGCAAAAAGTCAATCTTGCAGCAGGCCGTATTGAATCCTGGGCAAGAAAACAATCTCGACACCAATTGCTTCTGCTGCCTCTGGCGCATGAAGAATTCCATGCTGGAAATGATAGGGTACCTGAGGCAAAGGCAACTGCCAGGAACCGATCGACTTGAACTGTCTATACCATGTGTGCACACGTCGAAATTAAAAGAAATTCTTTCCTGGGCCGATGTTTCGAACCGGTTCCAAGGTCTAATTCACTCCTTCCGAGGAGTCGATTATGTAATAGTATACTAGGGTATATATTGCTACACGAAAGCCAAAAGATATAAAAGCTTGCAATCTAAGACCAGATGCTTGGCGAAAGTCTGAGCATCGAATTTTTTCAGATCTGCTCGGGGGCACATACACCTCCAACAAATAAACCCCTTCGAACTCCACGAAGGAAAGCTCAGCACATCTTTGAAACATGACCAATCGGCTCGAAATTCAGCTAGAGCAGCTCTCAGTGGAAGCTCTTCGCCTGCCAGCCGTTTTCTATAGTTGTCGGTCTTATCGAAGGGCCGGTCATCGCGTCGGCAGCTCGGCATGACCCCCGCCAGCTGCTTGAAGGACCACTGGATGATTTCGAATATATACCATATGCCGGCGAGGAGAGTGGTTTCAGACTCCAAGCCCAACTCATTCTCCAAAACATGCAAGTGATTCTCCAGGTCAGGCCTGTCAGGCAGGATGTCGGCTTGCTGTTGAAGCAAGGCCTCTGCAGTGTTCACATTGAGCAGTGAGTGCAAGGATTCGTGAGGCAGCAAAATTGCCAAGGAATACTCTTGAGAACTGTTCGTCGCCTGATTCCAACCACGAACCTTTGTCTGATATAAATCAGGCCATTTTGTGTTTCGAAAACATCTCCGCAAAAGATCCCGATGGGTGTTGCGAGTCTCCGGGCGAACCTGAAGGTCTTCTACATGCTGTGCCCCAGCTTCCTGGGCTGACCGCAGTACTCGAGCGCTTCGCTCAGAACTGAGCTCATTGTTTAAAAATATGTCGACCATCTCGGACCTGAATCGTTTTGCAGGAGCAACGGCCTGCACATCTTCTGCTGCCAAAGACCTTTTGTTGAACATTGCCGGCAAGTCTTGAAGTGAACCCTACAGAACAGTTTGTGGAAAGGCAAAAATTAATTAATCCACCTGTGAGACATGGGGCCGAGCCTGCAGAATCAACACCCACAACAAGTCTGCAAGCATTCACGTGTCTCATAGCTGCAGACGTGCAAGAATAAGCATTGCATGCATCCATTTTCTCTTGTTACCCAGCCGACGAAGGTCGGTGCATCTCCTGCGAAGGAGCTCCACCACAAGGCAAACTTATATTGAAGCAACGCCTAGCCTGCTACCTGCAGATAATATCATCGAGGGTGATGAACTAACTCAAGGCCGGGCCGATCACTCCATCAGGCCATTGACCTTCTTGAGCAAGGCCTTGCTGCCTTTGTCGTGGTTGGCAGCCTGGCCGACGACAGTGTGAAAGGTGGCCACAAGCTCGGTGCAATCGGAAGTAACATCCGCCGGCACATTCTCGGCCTCGTGCTGGCGAAGAACACCCAAGAAGTCCTCGAGAGCTGCGATGGCGTGATCGACGTCGTCCTTGCGATTATCCCATGTTTTGTCCCCGCTGTACTTCGTGGAAATCTTGGTCTTCAGAGACTTGAGCTCCTCGTTGTTTTGGGTCAGCTTTTTCTTCTCGGCCCCGATCTTCTTCAAAAGATCTTTCGCCAGGATATGGCTCTCGCTCGGCTGCAAAGCCGGATCCTTGGAACTGGCGCTTGCCGCACTCTTGCCCAACATGATGTCGAGGGACCTCTTGTCCTTCAACTGCAAGTTCTTCATGCCGGAACAATGGCTTCCCAGGGACTCCTCCGTCTTAGTCTTAGTGGCCTGGCGGGCCACCTGGCCTCTCGAGTGCATGTAGAAGTACTTGCTGAGCACCTCGAACTTGGGGTGAATTTTCGTCGATCTCTCATAGCCGTACCGCTTTTCGGCTTCGGACATCAGCTCTTCCAGCAGATCCTTCTTCATATCTTCCTCCAAGCCGCTTTCATCGATGCCCTCCAGCTTGAAAATTGCCGTCCTGCATGCACTGTGCATGCGTGCTCAATAATCATCCGTTCCATAGTCGAAGCCTAGAGAATATAATCATAGAATAGACAATCAAACAAGAGCAAAAATCTGACAAAACTGCCACCGAAAATCCGAGTGTACCAATTTTTGATGGTATCTTCGTGCTCACTGTTGGTATTCACGGTCGTCTTGACCAAATCGTGTACCCAATTACATTGACGGACGCCGAACTGTGCGACCTTGCTCAATATCTCTCTCTTGGTGGAAATGTCCCCCGCCTCGTACTCCTGCCAAGGAGCACGAGTGGAACGAAAACAAGAATCAAAACAACTGGCACGGAAATGCAAGATGCAGGCGGTCCTGGAGTACTTTTTGGGCGTTTTGTTTCTCTTCGCCCGTAGTTTTTTTAGCTTTGAGCTGATAGCGAAGCCCGGTCAAAGCAGCTGAAATTGTGCCCCGAGCATACCCCAAGCCGCTCAGCGCCGTTGAATCACCCTCTTCCTCCCGGAGCTCCACCTTGGCAGCCTTGGCTTTCTTCTTGGGGGTCGTCTTTTCGGCCTTAACCTTAGCCTGCGGGGCCCTGGCGGCCTTGCTCTTTGCAGCCATGGCCTTGGCCATCCTGTTCTGCGGACCTTTACCGGCCTTGCTCTGGGCCGGTGCCTTCAATCCGGAGGAGGCTACAGGAATGCTACCCGATCAGATTTCGTGAGTTGAGCTCGATCTAAACATTGATTCAGCAGAAAATTCATGCGAAGATTCGAGGACGGTGGCACACGAGTGCCATGGCATGTTCACTGTTGCACACAGCATGCATATGCATAAGTTATTTCATTTTGCAAAACACCATCGCCTTCGCCGGCAGGTCACAGGTCGTCCAAATCATAATCGTTTTCCCACCAATGCATGTCAGCACCTAATCTCCTAGCCAAGGAGATGGCACTTCCAGAGACCGAGCGACACTTCAGAAAGTATCTATCATTCCAATAGCCAACATAACGAATATGCCATTCATACAAGAACTTTTGGAAGCATTGCTCGGAGCAATCAAATGTATCGCACAGAAACCACAGAGCAAATGCACTCAACCGGGTCGTGAAAAGCCTTCTCATCAGCTGCAAAGCGAACAACGGCAAATGAAGCACAGGTCGCTGCCTCATGCCTCCCATGTGCCAGCTCAGTTGCTGTTTCATCCACAATCGAGCCTTTGCATGGCAGGGCTGGCCTGCAGAAAGTCAAAACACTGCTGCCGAACTTGAATCCAAGAACCTGGCTGGGTATAGCTGCCGATGCCAATGCGGAGGAGAATGGTCGCTCTGCGGATCCGCACCTGGGTCGAGGAAGCGCCCGAAAATGTTTAACAGGCCTTTTTTTTAACAATTTTTAACTGTTAAAAAAATGGTTTATGAAAGGAATCCCTTCATAAACCATTTTTTTAACAGTTAAAAAATTGTTAAAAAAAGGCCTGTTAGAAATTTTCGGGCGCTAACCTATATCTTCACCCCTCACTCCCCACAACAGACCTCAGAGAAAATTGGACACGAATCACAAATGGAACTGGCCTGGGTTCTGATCGTCCATGCTGCGAAGACCTGGCAATCGCTAGACGACATGCATGTGTACACGTGAACATAAAAACTCCTACCCAGGAGCAGGACCACTCCTACCAAGGAGCAACAAACTGCAAACGTGATGCACACCAGCTGGCGACTCCTACCAACAAGCTGCAACCTACGAGCACTGCCGACCCAAACAAAGATGCACACTAGCTGGCGACTCCTGCCAAGGAGTCCTTGTTTTTATCGTCTCGTTGCGGGAAGATCAATCCGCAGAAACAATGCTACAGCAGACGCTGCCTCAGCTCAGGTCCTCAGAGCCCTCAGGGTTTTGTTCGGGTTCATCTGCAGCCGCCTGCTCTGCCTGTGTTTCCGCTTGATTATTCTTCAAGCGTTTGTAAGCTTCATCCAAACCAATCACGTACTCAATGGTTTCGGCGCCTTGCACCATGGATTGGAAGCTCTCCCAGGTATCCACCAAGCCGGGCTCCTCCTGAGCCTCGTCAGGACCCGCATCCACTGCAGCTGGCTCCTCAGCTGCACCACCGTCCCCCTGACGGGCTCCTTGGCCTGCAATCTGCTTCGCCCCGGCCTGCAAACAGAATGAACATGTGCTTCATATTGATGTGACAAAAAGTTATAACATATGCACTGAGCATGTACAGAAGCTGGCTCCTACCTAGGAGCATATACCCTGATATCACAGAATTTAACCCAGGCCTCGCGGATCAAACGAAGCCGCTTTGAGGATTCCGACGGAGCTCCTCCGACCCATCTCCCCTCTTGCTTGAGAGTCTCACTTTGGCTGGCGAGCCACATCTTTCTTTTCCTCCCCTTGCTCTTCTTCCAAGCCTGTTGCTCCTCAGGGGGATGTTCTCGCTCCCATCGACTCGTGCCCCAGTAAGCCTGGGATTGTCGATCCATCCGCTCTTCGTACTCGTTGTACTTCTGCATGGCAGCCTGATCTGGGCCAGGATCCGGGCCCCTCTGCCAGCTGGAGCTCCACTGATGATACTTGCGATCGCCGCGCTTCCAACCACGGCCATAGCCGCCATAGCCAGAATCGCCATAACCAAGCATCCTGACCTTGCTCATTCGCAGTGGCGCTTTGACCTTGCTCAGGGGCCTCGGGGCTTTCCACCATAGCCGGCTCCTCCCCAGGAGCTTGCAGGCCGCGGTCCATCGGAGCTGGCTCCTCCTGCAACGGCTCGGCTTTCACTGGCACAGGAGGAAAGCGCCGCTTTTGCATTGCAGCCGCATATTTTTCGACCGGTGGGCCCTTTTTCTGAATCCTCTCCAACTTTTGGCATTCTTCAAGGGCCGCTTGGGCTGCGATGCAGCCACCGGGCTGCCAGAGCTTTGCTCCTTCTCAACCTTTATAGCTGTCCTCAGAGCAGCCCCCGCCTTGTGCTCCTGGGAAGCTGCTTCCCATGCTTGGCGAGCCTGTTCGTACTCTTCATACGAGCTTACCTTCTTTTTCTTCTCCAAACCGAACAAGAAGTTATTCGCCTCTTCATCGCTGGAACATACCTCCTCGATGATGGGCCCAGAGCTCTCGGCCAGAATTTGCACGTCCTCGTCCCCAAGGGGATTAAACGTACTTGGCTCATCTGCTTGCTCTGTTTCCTCATCCATGATACTTTCTTCCAGGCCGACCTGAAGTTTATGTTGATAGACTGCATGGCATAGCCAGAGTTCTTCCAACTCGACCAGTCCCAGCTCCGCTGCGCCCTGGAGCTGGCCGAGGAAGACTGAATTGGGCCCTTGGCCCACAAGTTCGTATTTGGGCTGCCTCATCCAACAATACTGGCATAAAATGTTGATGCAAGTCTTTTTCCGAAGGTAGCTCTTCGTCCCGCATTTCGGGCAAAGGCGGACGTCTTGGAGGGCTTGTGCGTCCTCGCGCGAATGCCTGCTCAACATGCTTGGCGGGAGCCGAAGAAATCCAGGCTCAAAAAAGCTATCAAATCGCAGCTACGAGGCAATCGAATCCTGACTGCTCCTACCAAGGAGACTGCTCCTACCAAGGAGATTCTGCACATCTGCATGCCCTGCAAACAGCGATTCTGACCAGCAGATCTTCTGACACGCATCTCCAAACATGCACATGCTCTTACCAAGGAGCTAGCATGCAAACCTGCCGTCGCACCTCGACCTGCAGATCCACCGAGAAAGTCGCAGCTGCTGCCGGCAGACCTGCAGGTGCAGCAACGATATTCTCTGACCCCAAGGAGCTCATGCATGGACTTCTGAACTAGCTGGCAGTCAACAAAAAACAAGGAACACTTGCACTGGCAAAGCACATGTCCAGATCTCAACATGCGTCTTCGGAAAAGCTCTGAGGCTCGAACTTGATAAAGCAGAAACAAAAAGACTCATGCGAAAACGGCTGCAGCAACATCAAGTCCAGCATGTGTGTGCACCAGCCACATGATTCCTCAAAATCTCTGCCTTAACGAAGCTGAGCTCTGAAGTAAGGTTGCAAACTTCAGCCAAAACTATTTTTCCAATCATGCATGCATGCAGCATCTCAATCTTTGCACCATCCACCTGTACAATCGCTGATATATATATATATATATATATATATATATATATACACAATCCTACATCTCCCCGCCGCCCGCACGATGCACATTCTGCAGCTAGTAATGCACCCTGTTCAATGGCATGATAACAGGAATGCCAAAAGAGGCTCAGCTACCGGCCGATGCTTCGGGCAAGCACTCTTATACTGTTCGACTGCCGGACGGGATCGCCATTGACGTCCTTGTAGGAACAGGGCTTTCTGGATCAAGAAGCCAGTAGAATGCCGATCCCAGTACTCCTGGTCGTATTACGACAATGAAGCAGATGCTTGGAGTCACTGCATTCAATTTTGCCGGGATTCTCTGGCAAAAGAGCAGAAGTCTGAGGCGGCTAAAACCCTGACTTGAGGGCGGATCGGGACCCGAATCGCTTGCATGCTTTTCCGACACAGGACACTCTTCGTCAAGAGCAGCTTCAGTATCTTCAGCTTGCTCTGAAATCGAAGCGGACGACTCCTTGCACTTGTTTCGGGCCTTTTTGGCCTTCCTTGATCTGAGCAAGCCACAAATTCGGCACCTTCGATTGGAATGGCATTTCATTGCACTTGTTTCGGGCCTTTTTGGCCTTCCTTGATCTGAGCAAGCCACAAATTCGGCACCTTCGATTGGAATGGCATTTCAGATGGAAGCGAATCACGCAGAACTCAGATCTCTCTGAAAGTTCTCTCTTACTTATTGGCCATCTGGTTTGAGTCTGATGTAGCATCCAACCGCAGGGTCAAAATATGCTTTCTTTGCTCGTCCAATGGTCTTCGCTGCGGCCGGCTCCGCAGCTTCCGATGAAATGTCGATTTCAACTTCGCTTTGGCTGTCACACCAAAGTCATCAACATCGCCAGCTTCCTCGGCAGAGACGTCTGGATCTGGAATTTCCTCCTCTGCATCTGTCCGAGAAAGTCCACAAAGCGACAAAATCTTTTTGGCGGACCGAGACGGGCAGCACTCTTTCGTCAGGAATGCTAGATTTTCGCCAGGTTCCAACCCCGGTTTCGAACGGGGGTTTAATGAACCCAGGTTTAACCCAGATGAAAACCCAGGTTAAATCCAGGTTCCAACCCAGGTTTGAAACTCCGTTTGAAACCCAGATTTGGAACCGGTTTAAAAACCCAGGTTGAAACCCAGGTATTAACCCAGGTTATAACCCAGGTTTGAACCCATGAAACCCAGGTTCTAACCTGGTTTGGAACCCAAGTTAAAGCACCCAGGTTTAAACCCTAGGGTTGATTTGAAGAAAGGCTTGGAGGAGGCTGAAAAGAGACCTGAAGGCGAATAAAACAAGCAGAAACATGAAAATTCAGAGACACACAAAGGCCGCGGCTCAGAAAGCTCAATTGGAGGGGCTGCGCGCCTCCCAGCCCCTCGCTTCTTCAAATCATCTCCGCGTCTTTGAAGCTCCTAAACCGTAATTCAAACCAAACCGTACAAAGCGAAAAATTTCACAAAAACAGGGGTGAAAAGCAAATAAATGTCCACACATTCAACTGCCGCAGCACTGCGGGCGTCTGCAGAGAACTGCTTCAAATCTCACATATGTTAACAATCGCCAAGTTCGTGTCACTCCCTAACTTGCACATGCCCAGGGTTCCAAATTTCTGTTTCAGTTTTTGGGTGACGACCACACAGCAACACGTCCAGTGACTTGCAGCGGCATTGCGGCACACATTGAAATTGAGGGGGCGGGGGGGAAGGTTTCTGAATATACAAACAGGAAGACTGTCAATGACTAACTGCTGCTGTACTCAATAAAAACCTTACGTCCTTCATAGCACAAACATTTCCTTATTTCAAAGAAGATCATTTCGGCTATTTCGGCCTCCTCCCTACACGTCTCGTTAAAATCCTCCCCTAAGCTCTGCGTGGCAAATCTTTCCCTAAACCCTCGCATTGCCGAGGCTCTCCTGCCTGTAGATGGACTACGCAGCTCGCAGATGGGAGTTTCCCAAAATAGGACCCTATATAGTACCCTAAACATTAGGATCCTCATTATAACGACCCCCAAAGAAAGTACCCTAATTTTCGGGAACTCCAGATCCTCCCCCAAAGCCTGCCTTGCAGATTCCACTCTAAACATAAACTTTGAAGCTCTGCATATTGCAACAATTGCAACTTCTCCTCACATTCTCACATTGCCGAAAGCTCCGCTCCAACCTGTAACTGCTATCCTGAAGTCTTCCTTGTTACTCCTCCAAACGCTTGCTGGCGAACCCCCAAATTCTGCCTTGCAGATTCTGCCCCAAACTCTGCCTTGTAGATCCTTCCCTAAAACCCGTTTGCAACCTGAACTCTGCCTCGCAGATCACTTCCTGCGCTTCCTTAGTGCTTCCTATTGCACAAAATTCCCGTTCTTCTTGCACATCTCGAGCTTTGCAGAGCCTCCAAAGCCTCAACCGTGCAAAGAATGCCACCCAAGCTTGCCTCTGGCATTGAGCAGAAACAGTGCCCGATTACGAACAATGCCCGAAGTAGTGCCCGTACTAGTGCCTGAATGAGCCCTTCATAGTGCTCGTACTAGTGCCCTCATCAGCTCTTCATAGTGTCTCCCTCTCCAGGGGAACCCAGGTTCAAACCTGGCTTTAACCCGAAGGGAGGCGTCTTTCTGTTTGTATTTTTCAGAAATCTCGTCCCGCTCCCTCAATTTCAATGTGTGCCGCAATGCCGGCACAGGCCGAAGCGGATTGAAATTTGGGGCGAGCGGGGATCTGGAAGGTGGTTGAACAAAACAAGTCCTTTTTGAGTGTCTCCGAAAAAAATGGAGGCTCCACAGTGAGCCGTCTTGGTTGCCATGCTGTGGCATTTCTGAAATATGGGCTCGCAAAGATCGTTGAAAGTGTTCCAAGGTTGGAAAGCTCTGGACAGAAGCGTTCAAGCTTGAAGAGAGCTTCGAAGGGACTTGGCAATGCGGTGCATGAACAGTGTGCAAAGTGCTGTGTGAACTGGAGCCAAAAGTTCCTTGAGGTTTCCTTGGCTTGGAGGCAACGCACAGCTTCCAGAACAGTGTAATAGTGCCCAAATGAACTCTTCATAGTGCCCAAAATGAATTTCGCGAAAACATGCATTAAAGGAAATGTATTTGAGGGAACAACAACAACAACCCAGAGAACCCATGGGTTTACCTGGATTTGAACTTAGGTTTGAATCTGGGTTCAGCGGACAAACGTCGCCCTAGTACTTTACAAGCCCAACCATGAGGGTAGCAACGGAGCGTTTTGGTTTTTTGAGCTCGGGTTGGTCCCGATTTTAAAGCCAAAAATTGGTTCCCAAAGCTGAGACCGCCTGATTGGAAACTATTAGGGGACCAATTTTTTGGGCTTCGTTTTTGGAGCTCGAAAATGGGCTTTAGAATGGATCGAAAACCTTTTAGACAAAGACGCTCTTGGATTGGAACTTTGCTCGAAAAACAACTTTGTAGCTATGCGCGGGGTCTGTACGTGGTCAGCTTGAGACTGTTGACCATGAGTCATGACAACTACTTGTCATAACTTCCACAGCAGGTAAGCAAGGCGGCAACTGACAGTTACAGTGGCAAACAACGGTGCTTAAGCAGCACAAAGCCCAATCACGAGGGTAGTAGCGTTTTGATTGATTTCAACAGACGCGGTCGCTCGCGACACTGGTCGCCGCGTGTATACTTTGGTAAAGCTTCAAGCACTCTCCCTCGCAGAATTCCGCAGTTTTTGAGCTCGGATTAGTTCCGATTTTGAAGCCAAAAATTGGTTCCCAAAGCTGAGACCGCCTGATTGGAAACTATGAGGAGACCCCATTTTGGCTTCGTTTTTGGAAGCTTAGAATGGATCGAAAACCTTTGGACAAAGACGCTCCCAATTGGATTGAAACTTTGCTCGAAAAACAACCTTGTAGCTATGCGCGGGGTCTGTGCGTGGTCAGCTTGAGACTGTTGACTATGAAGTCATGACAACTACTTGTCATAAATACCACAACATGGCAAGCAAGGCAGCAGCAACTGACTGTGGGGGTACCTGAATGCGTCCTACAGTTTTCGTGGTTTTTCGAACTCGCGCGATAGCACAAACTTGGAATTGTCCACAAATCTTGAAACCTTCCATACTCTCCGCTTTCCCCAAATTCAATGTTTACATAGAAGCACCCAACGAGCATTGCGGCACACATTGCGGCACACATTAAATTGAGGGGGCGGGGGGAGATTTCTGCGGCAGCAGTGTCCAAGCTTGGCTTGCACCCATTGGTCTCGACACATCCATACCAATGACCAAGTCTCCCAAACGGCTGAGTCTACACCAGCAGCCAGCCCAAGTGCGCGAGAGATCTGCTCAGCCAGACTTTCGGCCGGTCTTGGACCCTTCTCGCGCAGTACACATCGTATGAGAGAGAGCGACTTGTTTTGGAAATCATTGAAGCGAAGCGGAGGCGATGCCTCAGCTGCACCGTTTACTGCACAAGCGGGAGCACTGCTCACCAAACTGGAGCAGTTGGACAGCGGAATCACAGCAGAAGCAGTTCTGCGCAATGTCCTCCGAAGTCTTTGCCCGACGAGCTTGCAGAGACTGCGAACGCAAGCCCAAAGCATCCGGAAGCAATTTTGAAGCTGCTGGATGTATCAGCGGGTGATAGATCTGTTTGAATGATTAAAACATAGCATCAGCGGCTGATAGGATTAATTAGAGGCTGATGGAGGTTAACAGCGCCGATTTTGAAGCTGCTGCTCCCCCCGGCAGCGGGCAAAAGGACACTGCGATCCGGAAGCGGGCAAGGCCAATTATCAGCAGGGGTCGAATATGTAGTATATACATGGACAATATTTTTTGATATACATACACATATACATACATACATGCATACATACATGCATACATACATACATATATATATATATATGTGTGTGTATATACGTATATATATATATATATGTACATGTATGTATGTATGTATGTATATATGTATGTATGTATGTGTGTATGTATGTATGTATGTATATATATATATATATGTATATATGTACGTACAGCAGATGCATGCATTGTTTTTTGCAGCAGGCAGACAGGAAGAAGCGAGCTCCGGAGATTGTTCGAGTGATCCATGCAGGTGCATGCTCTATCCCGCATGCTCGTGCTGGCAGGTGGGCTCGATCAATAGGCTAGCTGTAGCTATAGCTGTGTACGTAGAGCGATCATGTCGTCTGAGGAGATTTTCCAAGCCATGTGTAAAGCTTGCCCAGCGGCAGCGATCAAACAGGCGATCGAAGCGAATCACGGGCTGTTTTGGTACCCAGAGCAAAACGTGGAGCTAGCTTGCTGCAACTTTGCAGGATTGCTTCGGGAGCTCTTCAAGTTGGGGAAGACGTTGCTGCCGAAGGAGACTCAGAAAGAAATGGAGAGATTCAACACTCTCCATTGCAACAAGCTCCTTGACGACAAGAGGACCTCCCGCAACCAAGGGCAGGGGATAGGATCCATCAGACACTTACAGGCAGCGCCCGATGCTCTGGGAGGATGCAGGCTAAAATTCCCGAATGAGCTCGGGGTGACGCATCATGTTAGTCGTCACAACCAAACTGTGCCAGAGCATTCCCGGAGCTGTCTCAACCCAGGAGCGCCTCCACGACCACCAATGCAGTTGAGACGGTCCCCCAAACCCCAGCCCCGGGCACCATCATCGTGGAAGACGAGTGGATGCACCCTCAAGTACCAGGGAGCCGTCACCACCACGCAGCTCCTGGACTACGAGAGTCCCTCCCCGGAGCAGGAGGCCAGCCAACTCCCCAAGCGAGATCAGATTGCGCAAATTTGCCAATCTGACCAAATGCTGGAATGGGTTCACGCAGTTCACGCCTTCGCGACCATCTCCATCATGAAGGAGCAAGCCATCACCGGTGGCCTGACCGACTCTGAGCAGGTCACTTTGTGGGCCAACCGGTTTGGGGTTCTGGGCAGGGTCCCCTGGATCTTTGCCCCAATCATGCGGGTTGCCACCGATAAAGATGCCACCTGGACAGACATCACGCAGGCCAAGCTCATGGTCGGGGCCAATGGCCAGTTCACGCTCTCCATTGGCGTGAACAGCCGCTACACGGAGCTCAAGTCCACCACCGTGTACTATGGTATCGTGCACTCCCTCTTCCAGAAGATGTGGGATCACCCGGACATGAACTCCTTGCTGGAGACAGATGACAACTTTGAAATTGTGGCGTCCATGTTCAAGTGCATCTTCGATCTACGACCAGACAACTCAAAAAAGCGGCGGCCTTAACAGACCCGTCTTCTATCAGCCCAAGGATGGCCAGGTGCTACGAAAGTTGCAGATAGAGCATAACAACGGCGACAGTGCAATCTTTCAGTGGCACCGCCAAAAGGAGCAACGTGACAAACGCTCCGGCGAAGAGCCATCAGCCCGGACCGACAAGCGCCATCGGGATGGCGAATCCTGGTCCAGTGGCAGCTGGTGGCAAAGAGGCTCTGGCTGGCTGCGGAGGCAATGCCTGACTGATTCATCGACTCTTCACACTTTTCTTCCACAGCTGACTGATGGCTTTTTTGCACGGAGCCGTCGACGTCAGCCTAAGAAAAAGAGCCGACAGTCGGCAATGCAGCCTCCTGTCTTGCATCCATGTGGTTGCGCCTACACATGCATCGCGTACCGGTCTTCAGGTACTGAGGGCACTGCAATGATCTACGCCATACGAGCCGATTGCTTGACCTGCTGGCGACGACTGGACTACATGCATAGGGCAGAGTAGGCCGCAGTCCCAGCTACCCACTACTGAAACACATCTACGGCTTCTCAGACCATACAGGGTCATCGAGTCAGTTTCACATCCAAGTGAGTGCACCGCGGCAAACGCCCGCAACGTGCTGAGCCCGCTCGCACAGCGTCCAATTGAAAATAGTAGTAGTGATCGTATTAGTAAGTAGTAGTATGAGCAGGGTCCGAACACCGGTGTTTGAACCCTGGGTTCGAACACTGGTGTTTGAACCCTGGGTTCGAACACTGGTGTCTGAACCCATTGTTCAAACACCGGTGTTTGAACCCTGGGTTCAAACACCGGTGTTTGAACTCTGAGTTCAACCTCCGTTCCAAATGTTTGCACCCAGGGTTCAATTCGAGTTCCACTGTTGGTCCTAGCCCCCCCGGACCCCCCCCCCCCCCCAGGCGTTCGAACCCAGGGTTCGAACACCCTGCAAAAACCTCTGCTCGGGTAGCGCCATCTGAGTGGGCGATTTTATGAGGTTTGATGCAATTTGCAAAACCAACACGGGAACCGTAGCTGAACGACTCAACGACTCCGACCAGCAAAGTCACACGTCGCAGCCACTGTCGGTACTTCTACAGTTTATTGTCTTCGTCTTGCTTCGTTTCTCTTCTTCTTGTGTGTTTGAAAAGACGTTGGTTGGAAGATAGCGATAAGTCAGCTTTTGTCCAGTTAACATTGCAAATTTGGTGGCTTTGTTGTTGTTTTGAGAGAGCGGAAGAGGGAGCTCGGAGGAGGGGCCTACTTGAAGCTTTCTTGCTCGCTGGAAAGGACGTTTCTTTTCGTTTTCGATTGTTCCTATTTGTTGGTCTTTTTCCCTCTGAAGCGTTCGTGTACCTCTCTCCTTCTTCGTGGAACGTTTTTTCTGAGGTTTTCGCGGCTTTAAACTTTAAAGGGAAGAAGAAGAAGGCGCTCGAAGGGGAACAATGTGAACCTGAGGTTGTCGGTTTCGGTTGACCCCAAGTCTGATCTGAGGTTGGGTTGGACTTCAGGTCAGCTCCAAGCCCAACTTCGCGATTTGGGAGGAAGTGAACCCTGATCTCGACGCGTGTAACCTGAGGTCATCGCTGGAGAAGACGTTTCGTCTTGATTATTATTTTTGCTTTTCACCCCCCTGAAACGGTTTCGTGCAGGTCTTTCCTTTTTACGTGGAAAAAACGTTTTTTGAAAGGTTTTCGCGGCTTCAGAGAGGGAAGAGGTTGAAGGCGCTCTTAAAAGGGGGAGCTAACAACCTGAACCTGAGGTTGTGGGTTCGGTCGGGTTCACCCCAAGTCTAACCTGAGGTTGGGGTTCGGGTTAACACCTTTCGTCGGGGTTAGGGTTCGGGTTAACCTCGAGTCTAACCTGAGGTTACCAGGTTGGGGTTCGGACAACCTCAACCCTAACCTTTGCGTGGGAGTTAGGGTTCCGGTTAACCCAACCCTAACCTTTGCGTCGGGGTTAGGGTTCGGGTTAACCCCAACCTGAACCCTGGCATCGAGGTTAGGGTTCGGGTTAGTCGGGTTAACTCCATTAACCCCAACCCTAACCCCAGGTTAAGGTTGGGGTTTACCTGAACCCCGAACCTGGGGTTGAGGTTGGGGTGAACCCCAACCCAAACCTGAAGTTAGAATTCGGGTTTACCCGATCCCACAACGTTCAGGTTGTTGACCCCCCCCTCAGACCCGGCCTGGGGTTACAACCTGGGTTCAACCCCAACCCCCAACCCACCCCGTGCGGGGTATGCTCCACAATCTTGCGTCCACTACTGCCAAAGAGGCGATGATCCGTGTAGGCGTAGTAAAGCAGCACAATGAGCAACAGGACGAGATCCCGCAACTCTTCACTGGACATGTGTGGCTACTAAAGAGGGGGTGTACAACATAACGTAAAGCTGAACCTCCTAAGTTCGCAATGCACTGCAACCTCAGCCGTAGAAAAAAGTGAGTGCTGCTTTTTCTTTCTTGTCATGCGCTTACATGTTCTAAACATAGAGAACGCTCGCTGGGTGTTTGTGTTTTCAGTCAGCGGTGTTTTCGTATGGTTTGACATGTCCCGCATGGTATTGTATTGCTGCTCAAACCTAGACAACACGCACGCCTGCTGACAGCATTCGCATGCAATTCTTTTCACCCACACACCGTTTGGGGGGCGTACAGCATAGCTCGCGTTGCTTGAACCTCGTAAAGTCGCAACGCTCTGCACCGACATTGCAACCTCAGCCGTGCAAAAAAGTGACTGCTGCTCTTTCTTTCTTGTCATGCGCTTACATGCATATAGAGGACCAGCTGGTTTCTGAGGCGCCAGACCATGAAGAAAGAACTGGGCCCTGGGCGTTGCCTTTCATGGCGTTGCTGATGTCGAGGGCCGAGTCGGCCGTTGGTTTGTGCAGGTTGGGGCTGTCCGCAACGTCGTCGATGAGGCTCAAGATCTGGTACAGCCTCTTCATCTTCATCCGTTTGGACACCTGGGTGATCTTGTGCCGGTGGTCGATGATGCGCCGCAGGGCGGCCTCGTCCCAAGTTTCGAAGAACACCTGCTCCCGGTCGGTGTTCACCTTCATGGTTTCTTCGATGTACTGCTCGACGGGCTTCCAGCCGTCGTCCACGTTTATGCTGGGCGAAAAGAGGTAGATGTGCTCGAAGCAGCTTCGGTACTGCTGAAGAATCATCCCACCGTCTTGCCCGACTTCGACGATCCTAGCAAAATGCCCGTGGAGGGCAGCTGCGGCACCACTGGGTCGTGGGGTTGCTTACTCTTGTAGTCTGGGGTCGGGAAACCCTTGATCTTTCCCATGCTTGCGCTTTACCCAAAGCGGTCGGAAGCACTGAAGCAGCACATTCGGTTTGACCATTTTCTTCTGGGTCCTTGCTTTCGCCTTGATCTGAGCGTTGGCGTTTGGAAACGCGCTGCTCTTCAAAATCCCGTTTGCTTGACGCACCAGGGAACGGACAGAGCAGGCCAAGAGCTTTAGCTCGGAGGAGAAGCTGTGTTGGGAGAAGTTTTGAATGAGGTCCAACATTCGATTGTCCATCCTCATTCTGCCCAGGCCTTCGGCTTTTTGTCCTTTGCCATCCAGTCTATGGCTGCCATGGTTTCGTAAAGTAAGATCGAATTGCCGGCTCTAGACGCGGGCTCTTTTTACCATTGCCATAGGTGCGCAATTTTTCCCCAAACAGGTACGGTTTGGTGGGGTTCTCTCCTCAGAAAAAAAGGTGGGCCGCCGTGGCGGGATGGGTGGGCTCCTAGGTCCTAGGTTGATGGTTGGGCCGCAGCCACGGGCCTGGGCTCCCAGGGTTGGACGGCTGGGCCGCGGATAAGGGCTCCCTACTCCCTTCATGTTTCCTTTTTGGGCTCCTGGTTGGATGGCTGGGCCGCGGCAAAGGACCTTTGGACTCCGTTCATGTTTCCTTTCTGGGCTCCTGGGTTGGACGGATGTTTCCTTTTTGGGCCTTTTGGATGGCTGGGCCGCGGCAAAGGGCCTTTGGACTCCGTTCATGTTTCCTTTCTGGGCTCCTGGGTTGCCTTCATGTTTCCTTTTTGGGCTCCTTTTGGATGGCTGGGTCGCGGCAAAGGGCCTTTGGACTCCGTTCATGTTTCCTTTCTGGGCTCCTGGGTTGGACGGCTGGGCCGCACAAGGGCCTGGGCTCGCATTGGGCTCCCTTCATGTTTCCTTTTTGGGCTCCTGGTTGGACGGCAAAGGGCTGGGCTCCCATCAAATTTTCTTCTGGGTTGGATGGCTGGGCCGCGGCAAAGGGTCTGGGCTCCCACTGGGCTCCCTTCATGTTTCCTTTCGAGTGGCCCCCACAAACAAAACCTTTTCGTCACGGCATTCTCGTGCGGATGTCATCACTCCAACACGTTCCAACTTGAACCTGCAAGAAGGAGCATACTCGGTGCAACTATGAGTGCCCACCACAAGCAAAATCTTTTGGTTACGGCGTTTTTTCTTCCAAAAAAAGAACTCTTCTTTCTCGCGCGGATGTCATCTCTACCCATTCTTCTTGTGCACAAAAATAGTCCATATGTCTAAACATTTGTTTCGCAGCGTCTGCTTGCGAAGCCAGATTGGGTTTCAACACGTTCCAACTTGAACCTGCAAGAAGGAGCATACTCGGTGCAACTATGAGTGCCCACCGCAAACAAAACTTTTTGGTCACTGCGTTCTTTTTCAAAAAAAGAACGCTTCCTTTTCGTGTGGATGTCATCATTACCCGTTCTTCTTTTGTACAAACTAGTCCACATGTCCAAACATTTGTTTCGCAGCGTCTGCTTACGAAGCCAGATTGGGTTTCAACACGTTCCAACTTGAACCTGCAAGAAGGAGCATGGCGTTCTTTCCAAAAAAAGAACGCTTCCTTCTCGTGCGAATGTCATCACTACCCATTCTTCTTTCGCACAAAAATAGTCGATATGTCTACGCATTTTTTCGCAGCGTCTGTTTGTGAAGCCAGATTGGGTCCCAACACGTTCCAACTTGAACCTGCATGATTCGATGCATTCTGTTGGGGTCTACGCTGGTGTAATTCAAGTTTTTCCAGCGCATTCAATGTGGTTTATTTTTAGGTATATTTGTTTGCTTTTTGTTGCGGTGAATTTTTGCAAGTTTTTCAGAATAGCGTTTGGATTTTTGTTTGGATTTTGCCGATTTGGCCGGGCAAGCTCATGTCTTCAGCCAGCCGTAACAAACATGTTATTTGTGATTTCGCTTTGGGGTAGATGCGAAGGCAAACCTGAGCCTGCAAACTTTGAGCGCAACGAAACTGTCGAACCCAAGCGAGACGAAATCGTCCCCAAATATGTGTGGCAACAGCAAACAAAAATGTTTTCACAATATATAGAGACAAGTGACGGCAATCATTACGAGTTACGGCGGGAACATGTTGTAGTTCTCGCGTCGTTTTTTTGTTGTTGCGCCGGGGCTTTTGAGTGAATGCAAGGGAGTGTGCAGGTTTAGTTCTAGTCCCTACCGTTTCGGTTTACCCTAGGCTGCCTTGGCATCTGCCCTGCACAGGAGTGACGGTGTCCGCTGAGTAGGAATACGGTAGGAATACGGCATGAGTAGGGTAGGTGTCTGCACCCGCTCTCAGGTCTGGTTGCGGGTGACAGGTGCTTGTAGGAGTGTTGTGCAGTCCGCGCTGTTAGGGTAGGTCTGGGTAGGCACTGCTAGGAGTAGGTGTAGGATAGGTGACCGTCCTCATTCCCGGAATCCCCGGACCCTTCCCGTGGCTAGGTTCTCGCCGTCATCTTCACCATCTTCGGAAAAGCCGGGCATCCTCGTTCCCGGTAGCCCCCCCCGCCCCAGCCTCTTTGATCAGGTGCGGCTTCGTGGATCTTCGACATCAACGCTGTTGGAGGTGCTCTTCGACTTTGCGCATGTTCGTACCGAAAGTATGTGCTATCGCGCTGGTCGGACGAGAAGTGGATTGTTGCAAAGGGGGACGCAGTATGTGCGGAAATTCAGGTCCTCGAGCAGGGGAGCCTGCGTGGCTGTCGCGAGCCGAGCGCCGGCTGTATCGGCCGCATTGCCAAGGCACAGTGCCTCGGGCCCCGATTTTCAATGTTTGTGGTTTCAGCTTTCGAATTGGAGGTTATTGGCAAGTGATCCGACTGAGCTCTGTGATGCCGAGGAGATCTGCACACGTTGCGGAGGACGCCTTGCAGGCGACCGGCATTTGTGTAGCGCAGCATACTGCGATGATCGGCAGTGTGATTTCTTGTGAGGCACCCTCCACCGACGAACTGTCGGCCTTTGCAGAACAGAACAGCATCGGTTCTTGCCTGAGATACGGCTTTGAAGCTGCGTTGGCCACATGTAGAAACTCATGCCCTGTGGTCGCCTTGTGATGCAATTTTAGTATAGGTTCGGGGTGGTGGATTCACTTTCCTTGTTGACATGTGAGGGTTGGTGTTGTTGCGGTTTAAGTGTCGCGAGGCCTTGTCTGGCTTTGGATTGTCCTGCCGTTCCTGATTTTGATGCATCTCCTCCTTCGAGATGTGCCTTTGTTCTTGTTGCGCTTGGTTGCTTGCTGGCGACATCCATCCTTGGCTTAGTTGTGACCTGCATCCGCTCGTCGGCGACATTCCCCAAACCGAAACGGCAGCTCCAACTCCCAGGCGCCAGCTGCTGTGCAAAGAGCCGTGCTGGACCAGGCCGTTCAGCTTCCATCAGGACTTGCGACTGGCAGATGCTTACGATGGTTCATGGTGGTTCAATGCGTGTTGTGTGCCAGGGAAGCCTCCGGGGCTGTCGAGATCCTGGTGCCGGCTGCGTCGGCCGGATCAGGAAGGCTTGGGCAAAGTTGTGCCAGTAGAGCATTTGCGTGGGGGGTGGGAAAAGAGTGAGAGTGATAGAGAGAGAGAGAGAGAGAGAGAGAGAGAGAGAGACCCTCAACCCCTGGCGAAAGAAAGAGAGACGTGCGTTCACGTGCACGCTTTGCGTCCTTTTGTGCATCGTTTGCATTGGATCTTCAGTGGTTCCTCGAAGACAATATTTGACCCACAAACCGTGCCCTTTGACAGGCCGACTGCACTTTGTCCCGACCCGCCAAACCCACTGATCGATCCCAATTCGACCCCATTTCGGACCCAATTCGACCCCATTCGACCCATTGCGACCCCGTTTCGACCCCATTTCGGACCCATTTCGATCCCATACCATTTCGATCCCATTTCGGACCCATTTCGAAGATTCAGATGGGCAGGGACCCAAGTCGAGTCCGCACTGAGCACAAGCGTTGGCGCTGTGCCATCCGACCGTTCAGGCAGCCTTTCAAAGAAGGATGCCGCCAGTCTTGCAGGATCCGCGCTGCTTAGGATGCTGCCTGCAGCTTGCTGATATGGGCTTTTTGGTCAGGCCGTGACCTCATCGATGTCATGACACCCGACAAGGCCAGGGACTTTGTGATTTCTTGGTCGTATGGCGGGCCAGGAAGACACGAGAATGCTGCTAGTCACTGCCAGTCACGTGTAGTGCATGAACCTTTTTTCACTAGCAGTGCTCTGGCTGTGTTGCACTGTTGCTGTGGTGGCTGTGGCTGTGTTGCACCACATCTGCATCAGCACTTGGGGTTCAGGCAGGCAGTGGTTGAGGCACGCAGCATACCCAGGCATTTTCACTGCCACTGCTGCTGGCGAGGCAGAGGCGTGACCCGGCGTCAAGAGCTGCAGCTCCCTATCTTAGTGCGGATTTGTGCAACGGAGGATGATGATGTCTTCCCCAACTCCATCAGTTCTCCACCTCCTTTCAGACAGATGATGTCTCATACGCGAGCGGCAAGGAGCCGGCAATAAGTCGAGTAGAGTTGGACTTCATGCTGGGGCTGCTGAGTTGCAGAACCCCTTTGACTGTCCATAGTGTTTGGGCAGGGTGCATAGATGGCATAGCGAAAGCGACAGCGCTGAAGGCGCCAAACGCTGAAGTGGCTTAAGGCTTCATGGATCCAGGCGCCCTGTCGGGGGAATGTCAGTCAGCTCTGAGGCCCCCTGAGAGTCTGAGACACTTCAGCGGCTTCTGCTTTTCACTCAGGGAGAGCCCTGTAGGACAACATGACATAACACTTTCCGGATTACTCAGAATTGGAACGTTTTTTCCTCGAGTCTGGAATGCAGGTGTCCTTGGTCGCCAGCGGGAAGATGAGCGAGGCCTTCCGGGTCAGCCGGGTCAGCCGAGCCCTTCCAAGGTAGGTAGTTCTACAGGTGGCGGTGCGGCATTGCGTTGTTGTTCATCTTAGACTCTTTCTGCAGCTTGTGATGCCGTCCGCAGCCTGGGACTTTTCGCTTCAATCAGGAAGCCTGAGCACCCCAGGATCTCAGCCTTCGCAATGAAGATGGCGCCGCATGTGCTGCTGCTGTTCTCTCTTTGCTCCGTCTCTGCTGTCCAGCTGGAGAACCTAGAGAAGTTGGAGAGGCCAGGCAACAAGACGAGTGTCGCAGACGGCTTGGCGGGGATGGAGGATCTCCTCGTTTCAGCGTTCCGCACGAATTCCGACCCGAGCGTGGAGACTTTGGTGACGAAGATGTCGGAGATGATCCAAAAAATGAAGCCCCCGCTTTTGCAGAACGTTCAGAACATCCAGGTCCAAGGGTATTTAGGCTTATAAGCTTATAAGGATTTCAGAGAATAGTCCTAGAGGATGATTACGGGAAAGTGGGGGTAATTCCGGTGTGATATGCGTGCTTGGCAGGACAGCTTGGATACCTCGGCGGCGAACGTGGCAAAGTGCAGCCAGAATGAGCACACGACGAAGTCGCAGGATTTGAAAAACGACTTCAACAGCAAGAGCCAGCTGCACTCTCAGTGCCGCTCATCCGAGAAGACCAAACTGGACGAGAAGACTGCCTGTGCGGCTGACATCAAGACGCTCACCGAGAGCAAGGACACGACCTGCGGAGCCTTGGCGGCCTTGGAGAAGAGCATCTACAGCTACGGCGCCTCGATCAGCGTCCAGAACGGTGAGACGTTTAAGCCTTTCCACAGTCGTCTCATTCAAGCCTCTCAGCAGAAACTGGCGGAGTGGGAGACCGCTGACGCTCAGTGCACCGACGCCACCACGAAGCTCACAGCGAGGACCACTGAATGCGCCAACGCCGATACGGACTACACGAGCCAGAAGGCGCACTGCGACAGCGTGCAGGATGCCATGGACGGCTTTTCGTGCTCTTACCTCGAGGCCCAATCTTCGAAGTTGCTTCGAGCAGCAAACAAGCAACCACCAGAACATCCTTTCCACCGGCCAGACCCAGTTGGAGTCGATGCGCAAGGAGTGGCGTGGCTTCCTACGCATGGAGTGTCTCATCAAAGCCTTTTTCGTGGCAGAGGCGGACCGCCCCGCAGCCATTGACAAGTGCCAGGCCATCGACACCAAAGCGCAGGCCTCCGCCGATCTGAAGCTCGTCGAGCCCACATTGGCCACCAAGCCCAGCTGCCCTGTACCAACGGATGCTGCAGGCACTGCCGGCTACCGCTCTGCACAGTACGACAGCCTCCCCGCCGAGGCTCCCGCCAAGGAGTGTGTGGCCAGCTGCTGTGGCAGTGGCTCCACGGCCTCTTGGCATCCAACAGTTGCATCGCTCAAGTCGTTTCTACCTAAGTTCCTGCAGCCCTGAACGTATAAGCACCCGTCACAGCTGCTACTAGTAACTCGTAAGTGTTTGAACTGCCAACGTTCAAGTCCAAATCATGGCTGAGGAGGTGGTTGTCGAGTACCTGCCACTCGGCGCAATGAGCCGGGAATTTGAAGCCCCACGCCCCATCCATATGCAGTGGTAGGAGGTGGTGAATATTCTGAACTTCCCGGGGCAGGAAGTGCTCCTTCCATTTCTTTCCTTCCCATTTGATGGGATTAAGTTTAAGAGTTGAGGGTTACCATGACCACGCGTTTGCCCCACACCGCTGCTGCTCTCGGAGTCCTGACAATTTCACACTATGCTACGAGTTTGAAAAGCTTGCCCCCCATGCAGCGGAGCTCAGGATTGTTGCAGGCGGCGGTGGCGGAGGATCGGGCGGTGGAGGAGCCGGAGGTGTCATCATGGGCACACAGACGCTGGACACGAGCAAGGTGGGCCCGTGTGGAGAGTGTAGGGGCCGGACTTTGAGCTTGTAGACTTGCCTTTGCTGTGGCTGCGTGTTGCTGAGGTCGTGACGGTTGTGGTGGGTGATGGTGGAATCTCTGGTGCCGGCGGCTACGGGGCCGCAACTGGTGTCGCCACTGCAGGGGGCGACTCTCAGCTTGGAGATCTCATTGCCAAAGGAGGAGGCCAGGGCGCCGGAGGTTCTCAGATTGAACAACCTGGAGCCAGCGGAGGCTCTGGTGGTGGCGGAGGCTTTGATCGTCTCAATGTCGCACGAAGCTCCGGCGTTGCAGGCCAAGGCCATGGCGGAGGCCGCTCGAATCTGCCCGGCTATGGTGCCGGCGGCGGTGGAGGTGGTGCCGGTGCGGCTGGGCAGGATGCCCCTAAGAAGCACTACGGCGGAAAGGGAGGAGATGGCGTCTCCTCGGACATCACTGGAACATTGAAGTGGTACGGAGGAGGCGGAGGCGGCGGTGTGAACGAAAATGGCAACCACAAAGTCGATGGCGCCGGAGGAGCTGGCGGCAAGGGTGGAGGAGGAAGGGGGAGTGACTTTGGGTCTGTGTCCTGGGCCAACTGGCACAAGTTTACGGGAACAGATGGAGAAGCCAACACGGGAGGTGGTGGCGGCGGCACCGATCCCGAAAGCAGGGTGGCCGGCAAAGGTGGCTCGGGCATCGTGGTGGTCCGGTACAAGAGCGCAACCCCTGTGATGACTGGCGGGACCATCACTTCATTTGGCGGCCCCTTTGGCTAAGTTCAGTGTGGCCTTCCTGTTTCCAGCAGTACTTGCTGCTTCCACTGCTTTATTGAAATGTTGTGAAGCATCGTGCAATGATGCACTACATCCCTCAATTGCAGTATAGTTTAGAGTAAACATGGGCATGGAAAGGATCCCAGCAATGGTGACAGCAACGAGCATAGGAATAGCGTCAACACTGAGCCTACAGACTCAACCAGCTAGTCCTCGCTTAAGCTGAGTGCGCGAGCCAGTGCTAAGAGAGTCTCCCGCTTTGCATCTGAGTCCACATGCTTTGTATCTGTACAGTTCAGTTCAACCAGAGATGACCTGGTGTATGAGCCCTAGAAGCGTGCCTTAGCGTATAGTCTTTGACATGGTCTCGTACTGTAGACCACTGCAAAAAACCATGCCAGAGCATACGACTCATACGAATCTGACGCGGTACTACTGAACTGCACTCTACTGCCCTGAACTAATCGGCATACGACATTCTGTTCCGCTATGACAACAGAGCAGTAAAGTATTCAGGTTAGATAATCGCAACCACAAATTGGCACAAAAATAGTTATGACAGTGAGCCTAGGATGGCAATTACTTTTTGGACTAGGACTGGGAATCACAAGAATCACAAGCAATCAACACCTCGAGGATATCAGATTCACACCTTCTCGGCCGTCGGAGCGAGCACCTTGAAGTACCAGTAGAGGACGTCAGCAAGGACGATGAGACCCGGCCTCCCACAGCCAGCTTCATGAGTTTCAAAAGATGGACTCTGCTTGGGTTTGGTGGAGGGATCAGGGTTGAAGGCTCCCGTCCGCAATGTCCGCGAAGGTAAGTCAGGCAAGCGCAGCGTGCGATTCGTGAGTATTCAAGCTAGCTGTTTGGCAAGAGGGCTTGCATCTGCATCTTGCTGGCAACTGAAGGTGTTTCCTGTCAGTCAGACCGAGTTTTTATATCTGGCAACGGAGGCTGGAGCACCGACTAGTTGGGCCGTCTGGAGACGGTCGATCAACACCGCCGATTTCTTCACGTCGAAGGACTGAGACGGAACATGTTAGCGAGGGGTTCGGTAGGGCCGTGGCATTCGGAGAAGGAGTAAGCAGGAGAAGGGTGACACGCGTAACTACAAGAGAATACCGAACACCTCCTAGTCCAGGATGCATGCATGGTGCAGTTCGACAGCTCTCGCCTTCGACTTGACTTGATTGCACGGCAATGTCAGTCTGATAGATGTTCGGAAGGGCCGTTCTGTGCAAAATTATCTCAAATTATTGATGCTTGCCTTCATGCGCAATGTTTGTTAGATGCAACTGCAAGCCATGGGGTTCTGTGAAGCGTTGTGGCTGTAACTCGCAGGTTTGCTCAGCTGTCTTGCGTTGCCAGTCCACAGTGCAACCGTCCACCTGCAAAGGCGAGACCTGGTTCTTGCCTTCGAGCCATTGGACGAATGATACCGGACCCACCAGACCCAGAGGCTGGCTCGCGTCCATGTTTTCGGTGCCAGACGAAGAGATTCGCTGATGCCGAGCACGGAGTGCTCAGAGTCGGCGCGGCTTCGAAGCTCCGGGCCCTTGCGTGCACACCACCCCCGAAGTCACGAGACGTCCTGAACGAGTTTGTTTTGTGCAGCCTCGAAACCCTGCGAAACTCTTGGGAACATTCGTCCAATCTAAACGGTCGTGCAATCAGATAGATCTTGATCATTTGGGAACGGCTTCCCGCTACGACCTCAGTGGTAAAACACCTCGACATGGCCAGGTCAATCAGTCGACCTTTTCGCCAATGTGCAATGGACTCAGCATGTCTGGCAGAACATGTAAACTTGTACAATTCAACGAGCGTGGCGCTCGCAAACAGGTGCATTGAGCGGGCGGAATTGTCCAGATCACAGACGAGAATGGCGCAAGCATGAGTGATGAGAAAGGACACATGTTTCATGCAGCGTCAAAATCTTTAGGTTTGTCTCTTCTGAGGTTCGAGCCCAGGAATTAGTTTCTGTACGATGTTACGGTTTTACAATTTCGGTGGTCGGATATGGAAGGTCAGTCCACATGATGGTTGATTGAGCTGACTTGCTTGATGGCATGGTTTTTGAAGTATGGGTTTGGGAGTTGCATTGTGTAACATCTGCTCGGCCAGCAAGAATGGAAGTCACAGCCGTCAGGTATCAAATGCATCGAAAGGAATGGATGGGGATATGGGAGATGAGATGTACGGCGCATTCGTTGCAAATAGCGTTCACATATTGCTATCAGTCAGCAGCTGCAACATGCGATGATTGATCGATGACAGCAGTCTCGAGTTCTCCATGTCAACTCCACCAAACAAGTATCTGGGAATGCGCAGCCATAGTTACCACCACGCTACATGCCAGTGTTGGATGACACAGGGGTTGCTCAAGGTTGCTTTCGTGTTTGCGGCCGCCGTCGGCAGCTGTCTTGGGCATGTCGGAACATTGGAATCAAATTGTGAGCTGGAGCGAAAGCGCGCGGCAGATTGGCTTACAGTAAGTCTTTTGTGTGCAGCGTTTGTATCGCACGAACTCGTTCCATGTTTACTTTGAGCTTCGCAAGGTTTTGGCTTCATTGCACACAGTGCTCAACACATTCCTTTCGCATTGGATTTGCCGATTGAACTCTGGGATATACTGCAAGACAGGACGAGACGGCAGACCATATTCGGAAGGGCGACCGTTTTTTGCTGGATCTGATGGTGATTGGGCGGTGTCTGGCCATTCTGGGGAAAGTTTGGAGCAAACCAATTTCTTGTTCGAGGTTGCAACTTCAATCTCGCCACGACAAATCTGCGAGGTTGGCTTCAATGCTGGTCATTCAGCATTGACACTGCTTGTTGGAGCTGGAAGCAACTCCTCTTATGTGGGTTTCGATTGGTCCATCTTGAACCCTGGCTTGAACGAGGAACTTTTCAGGATGATTCGGGATTGGCTCCCTTCAAACAATATGACTATTGTTTGGGGAGATGCGGACCCCGGCATTCGAGCGTTCCTGCTCCAAGGAGGCGGAGGGATCTGCGAGCTAACTGTTTTTGACGGCCCGCACGATGTTCTCCAAGTGCTGAAATTCATGCCTTTGTTGAGGGTCATGGCTAAGCGGTCTCGACCTTTTCTTTTACTGGACGATGTGGGTTGCACGGCAGCCATCTGCCATCATTCCACACTGGCCTGGCGCTTCCTCCTTTGGCTTGGGATGGTCAGTCCCATCAGCTGTCGAGTTGCCCTGCGGCATGCTGCTGGAGAAATGGGTGCTTGCCTAGGGCGTTTTCAGTGGGGGAAAGTGCTGCGATGCCATACCTTCGACGCGCGGTGTGTTGCACGCACACTCGGAATGGTGGAGCAGCTGCAGCGGGAGCGTTGGATTGGGTGCTGCCTGGTAGCGGCAGCCCAGGCGAAGCCAGATGCTTATTTGGTTCAGATTCAGATCTGACCTCCTCGAGAGCAGAGCAAAAAATGCGCGACAGATTCGCAGTCGTGCTAGCGGAGCATTCACTCGGACAGCTCGGATGGTTGTTGCTTGCCGGTTCAAGGCTAGCCTGAGCTTTCAATTGCGACGCTTCGCCTGTGAAAGGGGTGCAAGCTTTCCATTATGTAAATGTCAAGCATCCTCTGCAGAAAAGCATCATGCAATGGAGACATGGCTCAAGTCGAAGGCAGATCAATTGGCACAGGCCGAGTTGGAGTGGCGGACGGAAATGATTGTGGCGTCTAAGAACGGATATGTCGACCGTCGGCGTGCTTCTGCTTCCATCAGGCGGCCCAAGATCACGTGTCCGCTGTGCAGCAATCTGCTTCAAAGCTGGCGGTTGCATCTGGCTCAGGCTCAGTCTTGATTGGCTTCATAGCCAAGCCCATAGCCCAGTGGTAGATGTTCCGCCGCCCAGGCCTTTGATCCAGTGGGAGCGCCACCGGACGACTTGAAGGCAGGGCGGCAGGGCGGGTGGGTTGGCCTGGGTTGGTGAATGCAAGAAGCTTTCCATCGCAGGATGTGGAGTTTCGGGACGGACCTCTCGGCTTTACCTTGGAGGGCAACCTTGTGGTTGCTGTTCAGCCGAGCTCGCAGGTCCGGGCGGTCTGGGACTCTGAACGCAGATGTCGCGGGCGCTTTGCAGGCTGAGCGGCTCGGGGTGGAGATTGGTGATCGCCTTGTCAAAATTGACGGCTACGAGGCAAGGTCTTCAAGAGTCTAAACAGCTTGCTTTCGTGCATTCTCGCCTAAACCCTGTAACAGGTCCCGAGGTACGAGACGGAATTCGAAGAACAGCGTGCTCGCAAAGTCATCGCAAAGTGGCTCAAGGACTTGCAACAGATCGAGTTATTAAAGCCTTCGAGGTTTGTCACCCTGAGGAGATGCCTCGTCCAGCTATCCTCACCTTCGAACTGCAGCAAGATCTCGGCGAGGACAGCATCAATGTTCGGCTTAGGCGAGAGTTATCACGTGTATCATTGTGTGTCACATCAGGAAGTGGCCAAAGAGACGCCGCAGCCTCGCTCCGAAGAGGCCATGGCTGTCTGCTCTGGATTTGGTCGCACCTCATCTGAGCGAGGCGCCCAAAGCCGGCGCCGTGCAGGTTCTTCAGATGTGCCGGCTGCCTGACTAAAACTGGTCCCTGGTGACAACGCATCGCAGGCAGAGCTGCAGCGCACACAGGAGGAGCGCAAAAAGCTGGCAGCCGAGCTCAAGGAGAACGACAGTTCGGTTGGTGCTCCTGAAGACGGTATCACTATAGTCTATAGTCATTGGAGGTCAAAAGAGCACGCGCAGAGCCTGAATTCCTTCGCAGGACAGCCAGGAGGCCTGTGGCCAGTTGTCAGCTCAAGTGGAGTCCCTGAAGAAAGAGTCTGGGCCGAATCTTCGCCGACTGTCTGAGATGGAGGCCGACCTGCAGCCGATGCTGAGTTCTTTCAGGGTCTCGCAAGTCTTCTACAGAGGAGCAGTTGCAGACGCTGCGCACACAGAACAAGGATGTGCCGAGCTTCGTGCAGTGAGATGCAGAAGCAACATGATGCCAAAGAGATCTGACAAAGGAGTTGGTCAGCGCCGTCAATGCAAGTTCCGCAAGCCGAGCTGACGAGGAGTTGCTGAAGCTTCGACAGGTGAGCGTTGAGCGAATGAGGTGTGAGTGCGGCAACAAAGATCTCCCGTCGCCTCAGGCGCTGGCAGCCACACAGGAAGCCAGCCAAGCTGCGGTGCAGGCGCGCCGTGAAGCACACATCTAAAGTCTAGGCTCAAAGCTGTAGAGCCGTTGTCGATCGTGACAAGAACAAACATCGGTGCCAGTAAATTATGCGCAAAGATTGCCTCAATAGCGCCGTTCATGCTGTCGCTGTGATTCGCCAGGCAGCACAAGCCAAGACCGCAGCCGCAGAGGATAAGTATTCGGAGCAACAGCAGGCTGGTGTGCGTTGTGTTGCAGGTAAGCCTTGCAAGGATGAAGGATGAACATCCCTGTCCTCAACTCCAGGGCCCCCGGTCAAAAACATACATCCGATGGCACTCTGCTTCAGTTGGATATCACAACCCTGAAGACCCCGAGATCCAGTTGCGGGGTTCTGTCTTGACATAAGAAAGACTCATGCTCGTGGATTTACAAACGATGACAGTTGCCTGCTATGTTGGCTTTGCTTTGGTCTTTTCGTCACAGCAGCTGGTCATCTTCGCAAAGTCGCGGTTGGGTTCTTTTTTGTTTATCTTTCGTCAAGAAAAACGTCAGGGCATGTGGACTCGCTTAAAGATGACCGGTCCATGATCTAGGTTAGTTCCTCTCGAAAGCTACTCGCACCTTTGCTTGAACGAGCAAGGTGAAAAGCCCAGCAAACCGAATGTTCCACGTCTGTGCAGGAGGTGAAAGCGCTGATGCTGCAAGTCGCAGATCTCACGGAGCCTTGCGTGAAGACATGGGCACTCGGCACACTGCTATCGCATATCGGCAGGAACAGGCGGAAAGCCGCCGGCTGCAGATCGAGCCCATGGAGAAGGATTATGCGGTGTTGCGTTGTGGAGTCGAAGGCCGAATGAGAACCCACCGTTACGTCTCAGGAGCTCCAAGGCCAGGCCGTGACCATCGCATCGGAGCAGTCTTAGATGTCTCAGTCTCTTCGCCTCCTCGTACCCTCAGGCTTTCAGGCTGCCCATGAGGCTGAGCTGGATCTCTTCCGCGAGGATCCTCATTCCTTGGAGCATGCGTGCTTGAGCCAATCCAAACTACGAGGAACAAGCTATGCGGAAAGAGCAGCACCAGCAGGAGATTCAGGACTTTCACGACGTCTGTCTCATGTGAACTTTGGACTAACCTGCGACAGCACGATGCCAAGCGTTTGTCGGCCGAGCCAGCAAGAGGAGCTGCAGCTTCGTCTGGGGGAGCAGCAGATCAAGGCAACCCGCAGCAGAGGATTTCAAAAATGCTGGAACACAGAGGCCGTAGCTGTATGAGGCCGAGCGAGAACTACAAGATGCACAACTACAGCTGCAGAAGTGTGACTCCAAGCCCCTAGCTTTGAGCAACTCGCAGGAATTGTCACTGCATGGTTTTGAGAGGTCCAAAGAGGCTCTGCAGGAAGCCCAAGCAGTGGGCTGAGGATGCACTTTCCGCCAGATTGCCGTTTGCAGCTGATCCTTTGCAGGTCAATGCCGAAGCCGCGGCTGTCGAAGCGACTGCTGCAAGGCAGGGGCCCAGTGTCGCAGGGCAGACGAACCTCGATGCCTCCTGCAATGCACCCGGCCCGTGCTAGCTCGTGTCGGCCCGTGCCATCGTGCTTTGCGACGCTGCGATATGCGGCAACCACTTGCTCGCAAGCGCATGAGCGCGGGTTTCGCTGTCGGGTCCGAAAAGACCAATCTCGATGTTTTTTTGGATGTCGCAAATCTAGCATTCTCAGTTGGAAGGCTTGTCGGAGGTACGTTGTATGCATGATCTTTGCGGACTGCAGACGACGACTTTGGTTTTGAAATGTCAGAAGCTGGCAGCAGTGTTGCTGCACGTGCTCTGGACATCGATTCTTGGTTTCTGCTCGCCCGTGACAGCTTAGATAGCCTCTGAAGTGCAGATCTCAGCTGCAGGCGTGAAGTTGAAGCTCTTCGCTCCAACCAGTGCCGGGCCTCTCGAGCTGTGTGAGCGGTGCCTTCGAGCTTCCACTGCTTTCTCTGCCTCTCTGGCTTTAGGTCTGGAGCCTGAAGCGCTGCATGCAGAGCCTAATGGTGAAGAGGCAGCCCCCTACTGGGTTCTTGCAATCTTCCATTCTCTCTTTCAGCGGCCTTTGCTGCAGGATCGTGCAGATCCTTCTCCCATGCTTGGCGATAGTCTTCAGGCTCTTCCTGGCAGTCTGACCCGAGTTTCCCCTGCCCCCGAATCAAGTCAGGTACTGGAGCTGCGCAAGAGGATCAATCTCTTGGAGACCAGGCTCCTCGGAGTTGGCACAGAGTGGAGTGATGGCAGTTTCTAGGCTTCTGTGATTTTAAAGCCAAAAATTGGTTCCCAAAGCTGAGACCGCCTGATTGGAAACTATTAGGAGACCCCATTTTGGCTTCGTTTTTGGAATGGGCTTAGAATGGATCGAAAACCTTTGGACAAAGACGCTCCCAATTGGATTGAAACTTTGCTCGAAAAACAACCTTGTAGCTATGCGCGGGGTCTGTGCGTGGTCAGCTTGAGACTGTTGACTATGAAGTCATGACAACTACTTGTCATAAATACCACAACATGGCAAGCAAGGCAGCAACTGACTATGGGGGTACCTGAATGCGTCCTACAGTTTTCGTGGTTTTTCGAACTCGCGCGATAGCACAAACTTGGAATTGTTTGTCCACAAATCTTGAAACCTTCCAGACTCTCCGCTTCCCCCAAATTCAATGTTTACATAGAAGCACCCAACGAGCATTGCGGCACACATTGCGGCACACATTGAATTGAGGGGGCGGGGGGAGATTTCTGGATATGCAAACAAGAAGACTGTCAATGACTGACTGCTGCTGCTGCACTCGATAAAAACCATAACTCCTTCATGAAGTCTCGTTATAGATCTTCCCCGAAGCCTGCCTGATCTTTCCCTAAACCCTCGCATGGCCAAGACCCCCGTAAACTTGTAGATAGACTGCCCTACAATTTTTTGCACATGCCATCCCTCATATTTTTCGTGTATGCTCCTCCAAACGCTTGCCTGCGGACCCTTCCCCAAATCCTGCCTTGCAGATCCTGCCCTAAACTCTGCAGATCCTTCCCTAAACCCTCTCTTTTGCATTCCAAACCCTGCCCAGATCACTTCCCAATGCCTCCTGCAGCACAAATTCCTACTTCGTGCGCATTTCCAGTGTTTGGGTGGTCCTACAGGCCTCCCAACCCTTAGCCCTCCCAGCCGCCCAAGCCTCCTCCTGGCACAGTGCCCGAATAGTGCCCGGAATAGTGCGCGAAATAGTGCCCGAATGAATCCTTCATAGTGTCCATACATTTCCTTTCGTAAAGGAATGAAAATCTTCTTTTTCTTCGCGAAAAATCATTTGGGCACTATGAAAGGTTCGGGCACTATTTCGAGCACTATTCGGTGGCAGTAGTGGTTGTAGAAGCACCCGAACATGTGCAGAGTTTCTTGCAGCACCTTCTGCAACGACGAAGTCCTGCTCCAGATCTTCAGGGACAGACCTTCCAGATGGGTGCCCACGGCAGCAGTGTCCAAGCTTGGCTTGCACCCATTGGTCTCGACACATCCACACCAATGACCAAGTCTCCCAAACGGCTGAGTCTACACCAGCAGCCAGCCCAAGTGCGCGAGAGATCTGCTCAGCCAGACTTTCGGCCGGTCTTGGACCCTTCTCGCGCAGTACACATCGTATGAGAGAGAGCGACTTGTCTTGGAAATCATTGAAGCGGAGGCGATGCCTCAGCTGCACCGTTTACTGCACAAGCGGGAGCACTGCTCACCAAACTGGAGCAGTTGGAGAGACAGTGCTCAGCACAGTACAGCGGAATCACAGCAGAAGCAGTTCTGCGCAATATCCTCCGAAGTCTCTGCCCGACGAGCCTGCAGAGACTGCGAACGCAAGCCCAAAGCATCCGGAAGCAATTTTGAAGCTGCTGGATGTATCAGCGGGTGATAGATCTGTTTGAATGATTAAAACATAGCATCAGCGGCTGATAGGATTAATTAGAGGCTGATGGAGGTTAACAGCGCCGATTTTGAAGCTGCTGCTCCCGGCAGCGGGCAAAAGGACACTGCGATCCGGAAGCGGGCAAGGCCAATTATCAGCAGGGGTCGAATATGTAGTATATACATGGACAATATTTTTTGATATACATACACATATACATACATACATGCATACATACATGCATACATACATACATATATATATATATATATGTGTGTGTATATACGTATATATATATATATATATGTACATGTATGTATGTATGTATATATGTATGTATGTATGTGTGTATGTATGTATGTATGTATATATATATATGTATATATGTACGTACAGCAGATGCATGCATTGTTTTTTGCAGCAGGCAGACAGGAAGAAGCGAGCTCCGGAGATTGTTCGAGTGATCCATGCAGGTGCATGCTCTATCCCGCATGCTCGTGCTGGCAGGTGGGCTCGATCAATAGGCTAGCTGTAGCTATAGCTGTGTACGTAGAGCGATCATGTCGTCTGAGGAGATTTTCCAAGCCATGTGTAAAGCTTGCCCAGCGGCAGCGATCAAACAGGCGATCGAAGCGAATCACGGGCTGTTTTGGTACCCAGAGCAAAACGTGGAGCTAGCTTGCTGCAACTTTGCAGGATTGCTTCGGGAGCTCTTCAAGTTGGGGAAGACGTTGCTGCCGAAGGAGACTCAGAAAGAAATGGAGAGATTCAACACTCTCCATTGCAACAAGCTCCTTGACGACAAGAGGACCTCCCGCAACCAAGGGCAGGGGATAGGATCCATCAGACACTTACAGGCAGCGCCCGATGCTCTGGGAGGATGCAGGCTAAAATTCCCGAATGAGCTCGGGGTGACGCATCATTTTAGTCGTCACAACCAAACTGTGCCAGAGCATTCCCGGAGCTGTCTCAACCCAGGAGCGCCTCCACGACCACCAATGCAGTTGAGACGGTCCCCCAAACCCCAGCCCCGGGCACCATCATCGTGGAAGACGAGTGGATGCACCCTCAAGTACCAGGGAGCCGTCACCACCACGCAGCTCCTGGACTACGAGAGTCCCTCCCCGGAGCAGGAGGCCAGCCAACTCCCCAAGCGAGATCAGATTGTGCAAATTTGCCAATCTGACCAAATGCTGGAATGGGTTCACGCAGTTCACGCCTTCGCGACCATCTCCATCATGAAGGAGCAAGCCATCACCGGTGGCCTGACCGACTCTGAGCAGGTCACTTTGTGGGCCAACCGGTTTGGGGTTCTGGGCAGGGTCCCCTGGATCTTTGCCCCAATCATGCGGGTTGCCACCGATAAAGATGCCACCTGGACAGACATCACGCAGGCCAAGCTCATGGTCGGGGCCAATGGCCAGTTCACGCTCTCCATTGGCGTGAACAGCCGCTACACGGAGCTCAAGTCCACCACCGTGTACTATGGTATCGTGCACTCCCTCTTCCAGAAGATGTGGGATCACCCGGACATGAACTCCTTGCTGGAGACAGATGACAACTTTGAAATTGTGGCGTCCATGTTCAAGTGCATCTTCGATCTACGACCAGACAACTCAAAAAAGCGGCGGCCTTAACAGACCCGTCTTCTATCAGCCCAAGGATGGCCAGGTGCTACGAAAGTTGCAGATAGAGCATAACAACGGCGACAGTGCAATCTTTCAGTGGCACCGCCAAAAGGAGCAACGTGACAAACGCTCCGGCGAAGAGCCATCAGCCCGGACCGACAAGCGCCATCGGGATGGCGAATCCTGGTCCAGTGGCAGCTGGTGGCAAAGAGGCTCTGGCTGGCTGCGGAGGCAATGCCTGACTGATTCATCGACTCTTCACACTTTTCTTCCACAGCTGACTGATGGCTTTTTTGCACGGAGCCGTCGACGTCAGCCTAAGAAAAAGAGCCGACAGTCGGCAATGCAGCCTCCTGTCTTGCATCCATGTGGTTGCGCCTACACATGCATCGCGTACCGGTCTTCAGGTACTGAGGGCACTGCAATGATCTACGCCATACGAGCCGATTGCTTGACCTGCTGGCGACGACTGGACTACATGCATAGGGCAGAGTAGGCCGCAGTCCCAGCTACCCACTACTGAAACACATCTACGGCTTCTCAGACCATACAGGGTCATCGAGTCAGTTTCACATCCAAGTGAGTGCACCGCGGCAAACGCCCGCAACGTGCTGAGCCCGCTCGCACAGCGTCCAATTGAAAATAGTAGTAGTGATCGTATTAGTAAGTAGTAGTATGAGCAGGGTCCGAACACCGGTGTTTGAACCCTGGGTTCGAACACTGGTGTTTGAACCCTGGGTTCGAACACTGGTGTCTGAACCCATTGTTCAAACACCGGTGTTTGAACCCTGGGTTCAAACACCGGTGTTTGAACTCTGAGTTCAACCTCCGTTCCAAATGTTTGCACCCAGGGTTCAATTCGAGTTCCACTGTTGGTCCTAGCCCCCCCGGACCCCCCCCCCCCCCCAGGCGTTCGAACCCAGGGTTCGAACACCCTGCAAAAACCTCTGCTCGGGTAGCGCCATCTGAGTGGGCGATTTTATGAGGTTTGATGCAATTTGCAAAACCAACACGGGAACCGTAGCTGAACGACTCAACGACTCCGACCAGCAAAGTCACACGTCGCAGCCACTGTCGGTACTTCTACAGTTTATTGTCTTCGTCTTGCTTCGTTTCTCTTCTTCTTGTGTGTTTGAAAAGACGTTGGTTGGAAGATAGCGATAAGTCAGCTTTTGTCCAGTTAACATTGCAAATTTGGTGGCTTTGTTGTTGTTTTGAGAGAGCGGAAGAGGGAGCTCGGAGGAGGGGCCTACTTGAAGCTTTCTTGCTCGCTGGAAAGGACGTTTCTTTTCGTTTTCGATTGTTCCTATTTGTTGGTCTTTTTCCCTCTGAAGCGTTCGTGTACCTCTCTCCTTCTTCGTGGAACGTTTTTTCTGAGGTTTTCGCGGCTTTAAACTTTAAAGGGAAGAAGAAGAAGGCGCTCGAAGGGGAACAATGTGAACCTGAGGTTGTCGGTTTCGGTTGACCCCAAGTCTGATCTGAGGTTGGGTTGGACTTCAGGTCAGCTCCAAGCCCAACTTCGCGATTTGGGAGGAAGTGAACCCTGATCTCGACGCGTGTAACCTGAGGTCATCGCTGGAGAAGACGTTTCGTCTTGATTATTATTTTTGCTTTTCACCCCCCTGAAACGGTTTCGTGCAGGTCTTTCCTTTTTACGTGGAAAAAACGTTTTTTGAAAGGTTTTCGCGGCTTCAGAGAGGGAAGAGGTTGAAGGCGCTCTTAAAAGGGGGAGC